GTAATTTATTTGACCTGTTTTTCATCAACGAAAGCTTTTATTATTTAAAGAGGTGTGGTTATAGATCAAGCATTTGTTTCAGAGCCCATATAGCCTCCACTGCCTGATTCCCCTTTACTAAAGTGCACAGTTGTCTTGCCCATGTTTCTCCTCTCGTCTCTCTGCTACAGAAATGACGGGAAAAATCAGAAGGTCAGTGTTTTACTGAGGAGCTTCCTGAAAGCCTTGTTTTCTCCTGCTGAAATACTGACTTGTATGAGATGTGTTCAGGAGTTTAGATGTGTTCATGAGAAGTGTTCAGCTGTTGCAGGCCAGAAGACCAGGAACCTGCTTGAGTGCCTGAAGTTCTCTTTAGCTGTAGATGAAATTCATGCATCTCGAGCCCACGATACTCCAGGATTCCCTCTTTCTTCTGCAATATGTCCAGCTGGACTTTACATTTGTATGGTGCTTCACATTAGGTATCAAGATTCTCAAGATTCCCACTGGAATTGCTTCTGTATGAGGGAAATTAATAGAGTTTTGGGCAGGACCTTGTAACTGCTGAACAGAAACCTGCACTAGATTGTTTGGCGAGAAGCAGCAGGGTGAGCTCTGTGTCCGTTCATGGCTGCGGATAACACATGGAGAGCAATGGTTATGGTCATTTGCCCACAACGGTGTGGGTATCTTGCAAATGATGAGCACGGTCTTAATGGCCTCTTTGTCTCCTCTCCCTCGTGCAGGCAGCTATTTGTGCAAAACATCTTCCACCAGCACATTACCCGTAAGAGCAAAGATCTCCTCCTAATATCTTGCCAGTTGAGCCAACTGCAGCATCCCGGGATTTCCCAGAAACTTTTAATCACTGCTAGGTCTTATTTGGAAAACACCAGCCAGGCCCGTGCTTTGCATGCTTGGGATAGCGCAGGGGAAAGGCTCGGAATTGTAGGACATCTCCGGGAGAGGTAGAGCACTGCCGGTTGAGTTGAATCCGTGCAGCTCCTGCAAATACCAGGAATCATCTTAACGGAGACCATGGCATGGTTTGAGTGCCTGCATGTCTTTTCATGCGGTCCCCAGCCAGGAGACCATGCCTGGAAAAGTCTGGCTGACCAAGAAACCCTGCAGATATTTGGGATGAGTGTGGTACGTGTTCTGGAGCAGAGCCGTGTGGCTTTGTGGTCTGTATCCCAACCCCTTGTCACTGAGGATACCCCCAGACTTTGGAGAATGTCCTGCTGTGCTCCAGTCCCTTCCACTCTGGTGGAGACAGCTCATTCGTTACAGACAGTCTTGCATCTGGTCTCTTGATTAATGGACTTGTCTTTTGCAGCCTATTTTGACTCTGACACTGCTTTCTGCTCCACAGATGCTTTGCTGATGTTGAAGAAAGTTTGCCTCGCTTGATAAAGACCAGATCCTGAAATTTACTTCCAAACCTGAAGTAACAATTTTTAACTTGAAATGGTTTTTCCCCAGGAGTCACCGCTCCAGAATCCTTCCCTTATTTGGTGCCTCCTTCACAGCTGGGCCTGATGCTCAGGTGCCAAAGCTCTGCGCACTCGTCACCCCGAGCCAAACGGCCGCGCGCGGGGTCCAAGCGCGGCAGCGCTGCTCGCTGGCCAGCTCGGTGCCGCTCCTGTTCCTGTGCACCCTGCGGGGCTTCCCTGTGTCTTGCTGCTGGGCTCGGAGATGCCTTTTCAGCCCCTTTTGGCCAACATGCGCTCGCTTGAGGTTGGGTCTGGCCACCTTCTTCTGTGTCTCGAGACCTGACCGAGCTGCTCTCGGGACATCCTCCCCGCGGCCGCGCTCGGCTTCGAGCCGGCTGCTCCGGCGCCGTTGCTGCCGCCGCTCGGCCTCGCTGCGGGCGGCTGTTGGTCGCTGTTGGCTCCTTCCATGGTAATGGGTCCCGTTGGGTCCGCGGTGCGCGAGCGCTCCCCGAGCCGCTGCCTCTGCCGAGGTTGCCTCTTCCCAGGTGCATTTAGTCTGTCTGCACATGCTGACTCATGACAGCCGAAACAGCTGTTTTCAGCTCCAGGCACTACTGTGTGCAGGGACCCCTTCTTCTTCTTGACAGCTGGTTTGTTTTTATAACTAATGCCTTCTCTATCCGCTCGTATCTGCCATGCCCGCCTTGAGCATCCAAGGCCCTTTCCTGACTGGCGCACCCTGGCTTGGCCGGCCCTTCCCCACCAGAAGACAAGGATCCCCATTGGAATTAGCCAGACTTGCTGCCCGCGGCCTGCGGATCTCAGGAGGCTTCTGCAGGGAGCCTCCCTTGGAGGCGGCGAGCGGAGCGCGGCCCAGGAGGAGCCGCGGGGCCGCGGCGCGCCGCCGGGGTGACGGGCAGGTTAGCGGCGCTTTGGGGAAGTGCTCCCCGCGCCCGTGCGAATGCAGAAGAGCGGGGGCCGGCGCTTCCTCCTCGGCGCGGTGGAAGTGGCCGTTTCCCTCGCGCCGTGAGAAGCGGCGGCGGCCGGGGAGGAGCCGCGAGGGCTCCCGGCGGCTGGCGGGCAGGTGAGTCACTGCGGGCAGAGTCATTCAGAGAGCCGCCCCAGTCAAAGCGGCCCGTGGCCTTCGCGTGAACTCGCACATGAAAGGTCCGAAGTTAAGCGATGAGCTCATCAAAACCTTGAGGCTGTGGGAGAAAAAGTGGTGAAAAAAGCCCAGAGGTGCCTGCTAGAGGTGCCCCAGCTCTGGGGCAGCTCTGCCCGAGCTTGCTGGGCTCACGCTGCAGCTGGCAAGAGAGAAATATGCTTCTCCCCTAGGGGCAGGGATGCCATCCTCATCCCTGCTTCCTTTTCTTGTCTTTTAACGGTGTGTACGTGTGTGTATCCCCATGGAGCGCCGGTTTCCGCGCCGTGCAGCTGCTTTGGCCACGGGTGGGAAGGCAGCGGGTGAAACCCCCCCCGGTGAAGATGAGGATGAAGCTGGGGTCCCCTCGCCGCCCAGCCGGAGCTGTGGGAACGCTCGTGCTTCCCCGCGCCGTGCGGGTGTCGCTTTCCATTCGGGGCGGGGAGTTTTGGTACTCCCCGGCTGCCAGGAAAGCGGTTGCATGTTGGGGCCCGCGACGCCAGCGCTGCCGCCCTGTCCTACTTGCCGCTTCCCTCGCGCGCCCGCAGAGGTAGGTCGAGCTGCAGCCACCTCCACGGTGATGGGGCACGTCTCTTGGGGACGTCCCTGTCGCAGCTGGGGCTCAGGGACCCTCTTTAGCAGCCCTTGCAGCAGTTGCACGTGGCCCTGCCGTGGGAAAGGGCCCGCTGCTGCCCTGTGAGGGCTCTGGTGTGAGCTGTGAGCTCAGAGCCGGCGGCCTTTGCCGCCCTGCCATAGCGGCCACATCTGTGTCAGGGCACGTGACAAGTGCTAGAGGCACCAACCTGGTCACAAACCAGATTTTTTTTTGTTCCCCACAAGTTACTGTGTGAAAAAAAAAAAATGTGAATGGTTTCAAGCCCTGAGTTTTCTTGGTGTCTTAAAGAGGCCTGGGGAGAAGCGGCTCTCTGGGCTGCACGAGGCAAGTGACTTAGCAGCGCAAAGCGAGGGCCCTGTCCCCGTGTTTCCCCATCTCTCTGGGTTTCCTCCGCCGAGTTAATAAAAATGGGGCCAAAGAAAGTTGCCTTCCAGTGCAAAGGGCTCTTTGGGGCAGCCGTAAAAGCGTGAATAAGCAAGAACCCCTGACTGCGGGGGCTGGTTTAATTGGTCTGGCTTGTTTTATGAGACGGGTTTTATGTTGAAACTCGCACGTGGCCCAGGAGCGACGCTGCAGCAGAGCATCGTTCTCCCGGGAGAGCCCAGGCTGGATGAAGGGCTCCTCATCCTCACTGAGCCACCTGCATGAGCAGCCGAGGAGATGAGGAGGGGCAGTGGTGGGAGATGAGTGGGGAGGAAGCAAAGGCCGCTCGTCACAGCCTTGCCGAGCCTGGAGCCAGAGGGGCTTGGGGACAGGGCCTTGGGGACAGGGCCTTGGGGACAGGGCCTTGGCGAGGTGCTGCCCCAGCGCTGCCTGGCGCCCTCGGCCGCTTCCTCTGTCTGTGCCTCGGTTTCCCCCTGCGGACAGAAGCGCCGCTGACCTGCGTGCAGCGGTTGCAGGTGCACCACAGCACCCGGACCGGGGCCCTGCTGCCCGCCGTCCCCCTGCGTGGCGCTGGGGACCGCTTGGATCGCGCGGGGAGCTCGGGGGGCCCCTTGTGTGGCCGTGGAGATGGCAGCGGGGGCACGGTCCCCTTGTGCTGCTCCGTGGGCCAACAAAGTGGCATTTTACCCCTGCAGCCGTTTTCTAAGCAGTTTGGAGAAGAGGTGGGGAAGCCCTGAGCGCTGCTGGAATAGCAGAGGTGACTTGGAGAGGCAGGGAGAGCTTCTTGCAGGCAGGTTGTGATGGTGGTGGTGGATCAGAGCGGGCCGGGAAGCCGCCTGTGTGCCATGGACAGCTTGCTCTGGGTGCCCTCGGCTCCGTGGGCAGGATGGGTGCGCTAGGGAGAGTCCAGGTCCGGCCTCGGCGCAGAGCGCGGCAGGCTTCACGGGGGAGAAAACCAGGGATTCTGGTAAAAGCGAGCCCGAGTTCCCTCCCTGTACTGCCGAAAGCCAGAGGTAAAGGAGGAGAGGCAGCGTCAGAGCCTTCCCGGCTCCCGAGAGCAGCTCGTGGCACAAACGTGTGCCCGACACGCCGTTTCCCCCAGAAAAGCGGTGCCGGGGAGGCCGCTCGGGGGCTGGCTGTGCGGCGCGGGCTCGGGGCCCTGCGCCGGTGGGTGCCCGCGGCCCCGGCGCCGCGGCCCGGCAGAGGGTGCTGTGTCTCCACCGGCCCGGCCCGCGCGCGCTCCAGCTGTTTGGCACTTGCCCGGCCCCGAGTGCATGATGTTTGGAAGAGTTCGGGCATGTCCATTTGGTTCCCATCTCTCCAGTGCCACCCCCGGTATCCAGGCCAGGTTCTGCAGTCACTGGGGAACGGTCCTAATTCACAGGAAATCGGAGAGAGTTTAATTGTTTTCTCTCTCTCTCTCTCTTTTTTTTTTTTTCCCATGCAGCTGAACAAAAGGTTCATCCTCAGTTTTCTCCATGCCCATGGGAAGCTGTTTACCAGGATTGGGTAAGTGTGCAGGATGTTTATTTTATTTTCCTACATTACAAGTCTTTTTGGAATTTAATATTGTTAGCAACTAAGCTGTGTTTGGAGCTGAGGGCACAGGGTGTGAATTCTTGCAGGCCTGGCCTCCTGCTTCCCATTCTCCTTACCCGCCCTGCGCTCCCCACTGGAGGTGGTTTGGGCTCTTTCTGCCCCCACCTTGTGTCCCGCTCCCACTCGTGCCCTGGGACCCTCTGGCATTAGCTGAGCTTGGCCACTGTCACGTGCACAGGAGGGTCTGGAGGCCGTTTCCTCTCTCTCCCATGCCCTGTCCACGCTCCTTCCCCCTGACATTCCCATTTTTCCACCCCTTCTCCCCGTGCCCCACTTGTAGCCTGCAGGTAGGTGGCTCTGGGGGAGCCTCGGTGGCCGCTGCCCATGAGGAGCACGAAGCTGCTGGGACAAAAGGGCCGAGAGCCTCTGTCCTCGGCCTCCCTGCTGCCCTCTCGGCGACAGCCTCGTCGCAGAGAGCCGCCCTGGCTGCGGGAACCGGTCTGTGCAAAGCGCCCTTGCCGGTGTCAGGTCTAAATGGGTTTCAAACGATTGAAAAGCTCTCCTTGAAGCTAAAGCGAGGCTGATTCAGGCCTGGGCTGAGCTCCCAGCGCGGGGGACGTGCCGATGACCCGGCAGCAGCGTTGGGCCCGGCAGCCTTCCCAGGGAGTCTCCCACCCCTCAGGTGCCAGCGGCGGCTCTGCGAGGGCGGCTCTCGTGGCGAGACCTCCCATGGGTGCAAACGCAGCCTGTGCTCTCGCTGCAGGCTCTGCTTGAGCCCACTCTTGTTTCACAGGCAGATGCACGAGCAGCTCCACTGGCTCCTCGGGTCTCTTGTGGGACCCTCCCGGCAAACAAAAGGGTTGGGAGACCTTTCCCAGGACAAAGCGGAGCAGCTGCCGAGCGGCATCGTCGTCTCCCAGTAACTGCTGGGCTCTCCTGACTCGGGTGCAGTCCTGGGTCGGGGCCCGTCCTGCCTCCCTCGCGGTGCGGGAGGCCGAGGAGCGGTGCAGGGTGCCAGCCGAAAGCCCTGGCCCTCGCTGCGCGCGTTGCACAGCCTGAGGCGCCAGGCAGCAGTGGCATTCGCTTCCCTTTGGACCCTTGGTAGAGCAGTGGAAAGCAGGAGACGTGCCGGCCAACCCGTTGATGGTCTGGGCCTCCGAGGGAGAGCGGGAGCGCGCGGCGCTCGCTGCCAGCACCGCGCTCTGCCTGAGTCACAAGGCACCGATTATCTGATTGTGGGCAGCAGGCTGGCCTGGCGCGAGGACGCGGAACGGGGCGTCCTCCCGGCTGCAGGGAGAGCGCGAGCGGAGCCCGCGAGAGCCCCGCGAGGGAGGCCAGAGCATCCCCCGGTCCTCGGCTCGGCCGGGGCCGCGCTCCGCCTTGGACGCCGGCCAGCGAGGGGATTAATGGGGATGTTGCACTGATTGCTTGCACATTTGGCTCCTGAGACTTCGGTGAAATTAAGACGCAGTTTTTGAGGCCGTTGCTTCCCAGGACGGTCATTTAGAAAAGCCAAGTATGTTTAATGGCAGAATATCCCCTGAAGTACTTAGAAAGGAACTAGAAACTAATACCGTGACACAGGAAGAGAAATCGGCCAGCCCTGCTAAACAACTTCCGTGCTTGAAATGGGTAAAGGATGAGGAATAGTCTAGTCCACCTTGGGCAGGATCTCCAGGCATTTATCTCTTTTGGGGGCGGGAAAAGCCAAGGGGGAAAGGGCACGGAAAAGATGATGTTGTGCTAATTAGCCGCTTTCGCTCCTAAAACCACAGGTAAGCAGTTTATTAAAAGCTTCCGCTCGCCTCCTGACCTGCTGGTTCTGAGCTCAGTGGGGTGACTGCGCGCGGCGCCAGATGTGCTGCCGTATCCGAGCACATCTGGCGGCGCTGGGGCTGCCCCGCTCCTTACTGCTGTTATTCCATGGCACTAACGGCCAGCTCCTGGCTAACAAGGCACCCAGCAAAGGTCTCCCCTCGCCTCGGCGTCCTCTCCAACCTAGGAGGGTGTTGCTGGATGTGCTCTGAGGCCGCTCAAGATGGAGAGGTCTTTAGGGATGTTCAGTGTGCTCTAATTCCCTAGTTATGCCCCAGATCCAGGAGAGTTGGCTCTGCAAGCAGGATCACTGGTTTTACACTATCAGAGGGACTCTGTTTTGCACAGACTGGAGGGTCTCTTCCTTGCAGAGGGTAGCCCTGCTGCTGGGCAGCACCGCGTGCCGAAAGCCATCCATGAAACAGGGTTAAAGCCATTTCTGCCTTTAAAAATAGAGACTATTACTGCCCTGAAAGTCTGTTGGGGAAGCCCGGCAGAATTGCCCATGTGGGTTACCAGAAGTGGCTTGCTAATCCAGGCTGCAGCGTGCTGATATCACAAGATCTGAATCTCTCGGGGGAAGATAGAGGAAATTGCTATGGAGGCCTCTGGGGTTGCTGGCCCCGGCTCTGCGTGTCCTCCCTGCTGCAGATTCGGGCCCTCCCTTGCAGTGTCACTGAGCACTGGAGCCTGCAGTTGCTGCGAGAGCCGCATTTATTCTTGCTGCATCTGGCTGTGGCTTTTGGGGGCCTGGGAGTGAGGACACAGCGAGCTCAGCAGAAGGGGCGACAGGACATGAGGACGTTCATGTCACTAGGCTGCAGGTTTTTAGCAGCTGCTTGGTTAGAAAGTTGCCTTCGTGGGATGCAGAGCGGTGAATCTTTTGGCAGAGCTGTTGTGGGCCGCCTCACGGAAAAGTCACAGTCGTTTTCATGACTTAACCATGTTCTTTGTTGCAACTCGTTCAGTTTTTGACCCCTCTTGGAAGACTGCTAGGGATGCAGCAGCGGCCTGCTAAGTAACCTCAGCCGGTTCCCGAGGGGATGCCGTAAGAAGTGCGGGATAAATGCTCAGATTCCCTGAGTCCCGCCGAGGCCTTTGGCGTTGACAGGTCCCCGTGTGCCCAGCCGTGGCACGGAGCAGCGACAGCAGCGCCCTGCACTGCAGGAAGCAGCTGCGGCGCCGCTGGCAGCTGGAGGAGGCCGCTCGCTGCTCCGCCTGGGACTCGCCTGGCCCTTTCCCATGGGCAACGTGGGGCTCTGAGTGATGAGATCCGGGAGCTCGACCGCAGCGCTGGGGAATGCGGAGCCTGGGGCCACGGCGCCGGCTGCTTTGAGGTGCCATCCCGCTGGGCGAGCAGCAGCGGCCACAGAGGAGCCCAGGGCCCGGGCGCTGCGGAGGAGGAGGAGGAGGAAACGCTCTGGCCGGCGTTCAACGCGCTGGAGCTGCCACATCCGCAATGTGGCACCAGTGTGTGCAGCTCGCTACGGCCTGGGCTTCTTGGGAGTCCCATGGGCTGCGCCGGGTCCAAGCGAGGCCTCCTGGCACCCTTCCCAGATTGGTAGAAGTCAGTAGAAAAAAATGGTTGGTCAGAAATGACTCATAAAGGCCGTGTTTTCCTGCCAGAGGAATGCTGCCTGTCAGTGACAGAGCAATCCCTCACTGCCCTCTCGGAGGAAGGCTTCAGCCGTCTCCCTCTCACCGCCTGCACCTTCGCTCCCGAGGCAGTGCCTTCCTGCGAGCCCGGGAGCGGCGGGGGGCCGCGGGGCGCCGAGGGAGCCACCAGGCCCCGCGCGTGCTCTGCAGCCTCTCTCTGTGTGTGTGTGTGCAGGATGGAGACGTTCCCCGCCGTGGCCGCCGAGGTGCTGAGGGAGTTCCAGGTCCTGCTGCGGCACAGCCCGCCGCCCATCGGAAGCAGCCGCATGCTCCAGCTCGTGGCCATCAACATGTTTGCAGTGCACAACTCCCAGCCCCGAGGTACCACGTGCGGCGGCCGGGGGGGCGGCTCCTCTTTGCACGGGCGAGGCGTTGCAGGAGGGTGGGCGGCCCCGACACCCGCTGAAGCAGAGCCCGGGTGAGGGTGTCTGTGCGCGCAGGGCAGCAAGGGACGCTCGGCTGGGCCGCGGTGGCACTGGGCAGCGCTGAGGAGCGAGGAGGCATCGCGCCTCCCCGGGGCTGAGCCATCCCGCGCACAGCGGAGGCCGCCGTTTGTGGCTCTTCCCGGCATTTAGCTTGGGCCCCGCTCAGTGCCCAGGCTGGGAGCATCCCGGAGGGGTCGTCCCATGGGGAATGCTGCTGCCTGGGGCTGCCTCTGTCTGCCCTGCGCCTTTGCAGGCAGCTCGGTGATGTGCTCGGAGGTGCTGCTCTCTGCAAAGACCGTCTGGAGCCTCTGCCTCATATTAAAGCCCCTAGAAAAGCAAAGCAGGTGTAATATTGATCAGTAGATATGTCACCAACATGGAATCTCTGCCAGTGAGCTTGAAATTACTTCCAGGGCACAGGGTTTTGCCCCTTCTACCCCTCCAGAGAAGCACAGGGGCAGGTGCCCAGGTCTTTGGAGCTATTCGTTGGGTAGGAGGGGTGCAGTTTGGAAGCAGGGATGGGGCCGCCTCCCTGCTTGGGAAGAAGCAGCATCTCCCATGCCAATTGCTTGGGATTGAGATTCCAAAGATGGAGACCTCTGCCTGGCTGGAAAATTTCAGCTGTGCCCAAGCTGCCATGTGGGCAAAGGGACGGTGCCCTGAGGAGCCCCTGCTGGTAGGTTTCTCCTTCATGAGCCGCTTGGCAGAGCGGCAGCAGCAGCCGCGCGCGGGCGCCATCCTCTCACCCCACGGGTCCCCTTAGCGAGGAGCCTTCCTGCTGGGTGCCGAGCAGCCGCCGGCCGAGCTGGAAGGGGCTGGAGGATGATGAGCACCTGCCTCCCGGTGCGTGTGTGAACAGCCGTGTCTGTGCTGCAGGCGGGAGCGGGTGGGAGAGAGGAGGTTTGTGTGGGCCGTGCAAGGCCCGGTGGCAGAGCTCCACGCGGTCCCGGCTCTCGGACCACTGGCCTCTGCTTTTCCATCCGTACCCGAGCTGTTGGATGTCTGTGAGGGTGTCAAAAAGGGAGCGCTTTTCATCTCATGTGAAAAACAAGTTTCCGTGGAGTTTCCCGTTCTCTGTGTGAGTAGCTGCCAGCTGCTCCCAGCTCTGAGCTCTCTGGAGGAAGCAAGACCGGGACTCACTGGAGACCCACGGCTGTGGGTAGGTTGGCACCGTGCTCGTCCTCCGATGCCCACGGAGCCCTTGAAGGGTTTACTTCTCTGGGGGCTTCTTGCTCTGGTGACCCTCAGTGTCCTTTCGGGTGCTGTTGGCCAAGCAGATGCTGCTGTCAGCGCGATGCCCGGTTGGTCTCGAGGTGCTGGCAGAGCCAGTGTGGTACCGAGCTGGGAGCTGGTGCAGGGCAGCAAAGCGAAGGGTCCGGAGGTGCGAATCCACATGGAGATGGTTGCTAAATTATTACCAGAGGGTAGTAATTCTTACCAGGGGCTGCCTGGGGCTCATTCACACGGCCGACGGGAAGGTGCCTGTTGCCTTTCCCAGCCCGTGAGCCACCTTCGCGGGCCGCAGGAGCGGCCGTGGGTGCCGGGCGGGCGCGGGGTGCCCGGCTCGCGTGCCGCCGCGGGCTGGGGGGCGCAGCCGGCGCTCGCCCGCGGGAGCTTGTCCCAGGGCTGGAAAACCGAGCGCCCTCCCGAGCTTCCCTCCTCCTGAAATCCCGCAGCAGCCCCGGGCTCGGAGCACGGCCGCGGGCCCTTCCTTCCGCCCGTCTCTGACCTTCACCACGAGCTCCCAGCAGCGGGAGCAGAGCCGAGGGCTCGGAGGCAGAGTGGGAAGCTCTTCCCAGAGCCTCTTTTCCCAGCCCTCCGGGGGAAGTCGATCTCTTTGGGTCTTTCCCTCCCTTCTCACCCAGACCCGGCAGCTCCTGGGGAGCCTTCGGCCTCGCTCGCGTGCCCCGTGCCTGCTGCCGAAGGACTTGCCTGCGCTGGGCTGCGGCGCTGGGAGCAGTTGCGGGGCGGTGTTGCAAGCAGCCCCGTTTCGACTCGGGGAATTTTTACGTAATTTATTGCCCGTTAACGCAACCTTCTAATCGCTAGGCCGGGTATTGAGAAAAAAAGAGAACATAAATAATCAAACACTTAAGTAAACACCCTTCCTCCCCTTCCCCAGGCTCGACTTAAGCCAAACACCTATCCTACCCCCTTCCTAGGCTCATCTTTCCTTGTTTGCCCTGCGGATGACACTCGGCATGTCCCGGTTCCGCGGGGAGGCAGCGGGCAGTGCGCGGGGTCGGGGTCGTGCACGTTAGTGGTTTCTCCTCCTTTCTTGCACCAAGGCGCAAAAGGGAAAACCTCGTTGCAGAGCTTGGAGCTGTGGTTCAAGGAGGGCCCGTCCGCGGGAGGGACGGATGCAGGCGGCTGCAGCCCGCGCTCCGGCCGGGATGTGCGCTCCGGCCGGGATGCTTGTGACTCGGGCGGGCCCTTTGCGGGGTGGCCCCTTTTAACAGTTTGGTAGCCATCTGCACAATCAACTTGCAGAGGAGTTTGGATCCCTTCATCCCAACCACAAATGCTCCGAGAATTTTAATTTTTTTTTTAATTCTGTAATTTGGGGAAATAAAACTCTGGTTTCTGAAAGACTAATTGAAGCCGTGCTTGCGGCAGGGGCATCTCGGTGAGGGGAGAGAGAGAAACCCCCTCCCAGCCCATCTGTGCCCAATTTACTCCGATCTGGCCTCTCTGAGGCTTTTTTTCTTTCTCTCTCTCTTTAATAATTTGTTTTATAATTCCTGGAATCAAACCCATCTCAGACACACTGTTTTATTTTACTGTATTATTGGATTATACTTCCTATAAATCACTGGATGTTATTCATAGGCCACCACCAGAATAACTTCCCCTCTCCCCCCGGCGGGCCCGCATTCCTCACCCGCGCGCCCCAAAGTGGGGGTGCCGCGCGGGGCACCCTCGAGACACTTCCCGGAAATCCCAGCAAATTCTCCTGGCCGGGGGGGGTGCGGAGCGGCCCGCAGCACCTGGCTGCCTTCTGGCACCGGCCGAGCAGCGCCGGGGCCGGGAAGGAGCCGGCGGCCCCGCGGGGGCCCTTGCGGCAGGGCAGGGGGAGCAGCCCCCGCGATGTCCCCTCGGGGCAGCGCTCCTGATCCAGGGGGGAAACCTGCTGCATGAGCCGGGCCGGCCCCGGGCGCCGCTCCCGGGGCTCTCCGCACCAGCGGAACCAGCTCTGGTTGTCCGTGCTAGGAGGAGCTGGCCGGGAAGGAGCAGCTCCCTTTGGTGCATGCACTGCTGGGCGCAGGGATGCGCTGCTGGGTGCAGAGATGTGCCGCAGGGCGCAGGGACACGCCGCTGGGCGCAGGGACGTGTTGCTGGGCGCAGGAACTCGCTGCTGGTAGTGGGTGTCCCCGGATCGCAGCTCCAGCAACCTGCTCCTTGAAGACTCACACCGGCTCCCCGGGGCTGACCCTGCCCAGGGCTCCCCGGCGCAGTGCAGGCTCCAAAGCAGGAGGAAAACCCTGGTTTTCTTTCTGCTTTTGCCACATATGATGGCACCGGGCGCAGCCTGTGCTTGGGCAGCCGCCGGCCTCGCTGCCGCGGCGCTCGGCCCCGCGCTGACCGCAGCCGCTCCAACCCAGGACCTAAAGCCCTTAAAATATCCCCAGAGACGTTGCGGAGACTGGTGCTCCCTGCCCGTGGCGGCAGGACTAGCCCTCACCTCTGACCATGTCCGCGTTGCTCGTTCGGTTTCCCACGCGGCACGCGGCTTTGCTCACATCGTGGTGCCAGAAACAGACTCGGCTGCAAGTATTTTCTGCTTTTGTGATGTGGCCACTTCTCGATGGCTTCTCGTGCGGCTCGTAACCACATCTTGTGTACCGGGGCAGACAGAAGGTGCTGGGAGCTGAACCCGAGAGAGTCCAGTGCATTGGAGTTTAAAAATAAAGCAGTGTTGTGGACTGCTGCTTCGGTTTAGCGGGGTTTTAAAATTAGGTCCAAAGCGAAGCCTAATAAACCTCAGGCTGCAGATAACAAAAGCAGCAACTTGATCTTGCTGTGTCTGCGGAGCAGAGCGGAGCCCTGTCCTCCGGCGTTGCCCTTGTGCGTGGTGGAAGGCGTCGAGCCCAGCGGGTTTCCCAGCTCCTGGGCTTGCGGGCACAGGGCTGGGCTGTGCCATGGAGCACGGAGGGTGTCCGGAGAATCCAGGCATTCCCTTCACCCTTCCCATTGCTACTCTTCTCAGCTGCTTCAGGGGAGAGGTTTGGGGCAGGATGAAGGCCGGAGGGCTGCTCTAAGATGCTCATCCTCCGATGAGGCTTAGACAGGGGAAGATCAAGCTGCTGCTTTCGTTATCGACAGCCTGAGGTTTATTAGGCTTCGTTTGGAGCCTAGGTGCTCCTCCTTAGAGCAGGTCCATCCTTCCCCCTGCCGTGTGGCTGGCATGGTTGTCACTGGCCCTAGGTGCTCCTCCTCAGAGCAGGTCCATCCTTCTCCCTGCCGCCTAGCTTGCATGACTGTCACCCTGCGTGGTTGTCACCCTGCGTGGTTGTCACCCTCTCTCCCAAGCAGCTGCTGACGTGTCACCGCGTACACAAAGCCCCTTCTTTTGCCTTAGGAGGTGACTGGCAGCGCCTGGGCACAGCTCGGAGCCGCTCGGGCACACATGACGCCCCGGCGAGGCACTGTCCCCCTCGGCATTGCCTTTCCATCCCTTCCCTCCCGCTTCCCCAGGACACGCACGCGGCCGGAGGTGGCAGCCGGCCCTCCGGACCCGCTTCCCAGGCGGGAATGCTGGAGGTTGGCACGGGCACTGGGAACCGTAGGCGCCTTTCCTTTGGGGGAAGGAAGCTGTCTCAGACTCAAGACGCATCTGCAGAGTTCAGGTAAAAAGCTTTGGCCCCGGCACGTCTCTCGCTCGGGCTCTTGAGGCTG